TATATATATATATATACACACACACACAAACACATTTCTGCTACAATGTTCTGCTTAACAACAATACTTAAACAATCTGGCTTATACTGTCAATATAACTTATTGAATGTATGTCCCTGAGCATCCTGTTATCTGCATATGAGATGTATACACACTGGAGTCAGGTGGTTCCATCAGCAGATGTGTTTTGGTGATGAACTGATGCAATTTGATGGGTGTGTACTATCTACTGGGACACAATATATATCATATGGTGCAGTATAGTCCATACACTGAACTGATTATAGCATATGTGAGTTATTTGCAAATGCTTTGAAGAAGACTTGTCATGGGCCAGCAAAAAAATCTCCCAATAGGAACATTGGCTTCAAACTGTTTTTCTTGTTTAAAGTTACATCGACCCATTTCTATATAAAAACATCATATAGTTGCACATTAAAGCTATAGTATATTGGGATGGACAAGTAAAGAAGATCTTAATTTCTGGGTAATCTATACCTCTCTATATGTAATACAATGTAATACAATGGAGGTGCAAACTTGTTAAAATATAAAAAGCATATCAAAAATTACTTTCAGTTCTAACTGCTGAAAATAGGTTCTCACTATAAATAGCACTTCAGAAAACACACACAGACGGCCAGTGAGTCTGTGAATGGCTGTGATCTGAGCCGTTATCGGACGGCTCAGATCACAGGCACAATGTATACAGCTGATCAGAGTGGCTCTGTATCTTGTGTTTGCTGTGATGACCAATCACAGCAATCACAAATGTAAACACCCATCTGCCCAGCGGATGGCCCCGCCCACTAGAAATGGTAACAAGCTGATTGGCAGGCTCCTGTCCTCCTTCTATGCACAGGAGCTTGAGTCCCTTTAGGGAAGGAGCTTGCCAATCAACTGGTTACCATGGCAAGTCTGCAGGATCATGCAAGATCCTGCAGACTTGATTGGGCCCGTCCAGAGGGCGGCCTGTACCATTCTGTCAGCGGCCCTGGCCTCGGGTCCTTGGGCACTGCCAGATTGCCCGAATGGTCAGTCCGCCCCTGAACAGTCCAGTGGCACAGCCTCTACTAGCTACTGTGATTTTAGTATCGAGGCATTATATCATGAGGATGTGGTTTCCAGTTTAAGATAAATGCAGTCCTAAGTACCAGACCTGAAATCCAGGGTCTTCCTCATGCACATAGTATGTGAAAATATACACAGGAA